CACCTCCCTGCCCTGCCGCCCCCAATTTTCTTCTCCCTCTGCCTATAGTTATAGGTGAGAAAATTTAGCAGTCAGTTCTGTTAGATGGTGAGGCTGTTTAGCCTCAGGTAGGCTGAATTTGTGCACAAAGACTTAGGCCTTTCCCTTACAGGCATATTTCTGTGCTGCTTCCCTGAAGTGAATGTGACTTATGAGGTACTGAAATCCCAGTATCAATTACAATTCGTACATAATTCTGTAAAGACTTTGTGATCCTTTCTTACTGTGAAGAGAACAGCCACCTTTTGAGGTCCAGATTCTGGTACCCTTCCTCAAAATGGATGGGTGGTATTTTGGACCAAGAGTAGTGCTGGTATGTTCAACAGAATCACTAGTGAAGTACAGCTTAATGTGAATCAAGATTGCAGAATCTGCCCTAATCCTTGTAAAAATGGGATTCACGTTAAGTTTATGGTCACCATGTTACTGGCAATGAATTCTCTGGAGATTCACAATAAGCAGAGAGAGGGAGTTTGTTAGTCTGAAGTCAGGAAGAAGGCAGGGTGTGCATGAATTCACTTAATCAGATGATGATACAGTGATAAAGTGCTGATAATGTGAACTCAGGCTCACAGAAGCTTATACATGTCTGATTTAGTTAGTCCATAAGGTGCATCTCAACCCTGCCTTCTGACTTCCCAACATGAAAGCTGTTTCCTCCCCATATATTTGTGTGGTTCTAGCAACTTATGGAAAGATGGATTCCCATCATTACTTCTGTTTAAAATAATATTGCCACTACATTATGTTCAGAATAAAACAGGTGTTTGTCTAGATCTCTATATTAGTAATATTATAGTGGCTAGTTGGCTAAATTGTTTGAGACATTCATTACTGAAGGCTAGCAAATGGTTTCAATTAAAATAGTTCAGCTGCCCTTTTGCATTATCTGAAGGAATGTTTTTGGCTGATCTATCCTACTTTCATCACAATTATTGAAGTTATATTTTGATTTCTTTTTTTAGTTCTATGCACTTGATAAAACTGCTTTGAACAGTAATAAATGAAAGATATCACTAGAGACTAAAACATTAAGTTACATTATTACAAAAACCATAAGAAAATAATTGATCAAAGGTGTAGCAAATTCATCAGTTTAAAAACTAACACTTGCCGATTTTGGTATTAGCCAAATGAAAAGAACTCTTGCAGTTTAAGTCACTGATAATGGTTTTAGCAACATTACACCAGAACTGTGTACTAATGAACTTTGCCAAATTATTTGTATTTTGCTAATAGTGGTCAGTATGGAAAATCTGGAAACATTTATTAGTAGGCTTGGCAGAATTCAATTTTTACTTTTTAAATAATGTTGGTGGCTAAAATCAGTGTTTATTTCTAAGCCTTTATTTCAATTGCTATCTATTTACATTTTCAGGATGGTATGAAATTAGGGGTGTGGGTGCAGGCAATGTAGTAATGACAGGATACTGTTAAAAGCTTTATAAAATCACACATCAAAATATAAAAAGTAAATACCCATAAATCAATAAATCATATATGCTTTAAATCATTCTGTTCATTCATCAGGAAAGAGCTGAGTGATCAGGGACCAGAGGAGGAGGGCAGCTCTTAGAGCTCTGGGAACATGGCCCTCAGGGCCCACCCCCCTGTTTAGCCAACCCAGCCCAGGCGGGACCCTGCTGCTACTCCCCCTCCGGTCACTCCCTACCCCCACCTCTTGGCTTTGGGTAGGGGTTTGTTTAAGTAGCCTGTTATCCTCCTCCAGGCTGCTTCCAAACCTGTGAATAACCAGCTAATTACTTAATTGATGAGTCATTAGGCCACCCCTTGTTTTCCTCTTCAACCCCTTCATACTCTGTCCCACCATCTCTTTTTCTCCACTAGCAGGAACAGGGGTAAGGGTTCCCTACTACTGTCCCTTTTCTATAAATTTTGATTATTACCAGTGGAAATATTTTTCCATTGGTCTGTGAGTGTGTGGTCAAACTGACATTTATCTAAGTTTATCAATAACAATCAAATCCTGCCAAGGCTATTTATTG